CAAAGGCAATAAAGAGAGAAAAATTTTCACACAATTGCTTTCAATTAAGCATAACCAGAGCTTACAAAGTTAGATCTTCTCATTATCTTTTCCTTTCTTGTAAACAAGCTAAATCTTTTAGGGTTTCAATTTCCCAACTTTTTGTTTTGTTTCAATGTATCAAACCACTTCAAAGGTAATGGCCTTGAGAAGAATTCCATGATAAGAAGCGGAATTTATGTTCTTGCAGCAAGCGGTGGCTGGGCATTTTTATAATGGTTAAATCATGAACGAAAAGCAAAAAGTGCCACTTCAAGGAAATTAAAGAATCGCAGCGTCTGAGAATGTTCCACTCTGCCAGTAGAAAAACACATTAACAAAGAGACCTTTATAAAGCATTAACCCAACAATCAAAGAAGCAGCCGCTCAAGACTCCATATGCCCCTCTTCCTTTATAGCCTAGTTTCTTGCAAGAGGAGGCTATGCTTTTTATTGCAATTTCTGCCTTGAAGTCACTCCAAATCATTACAATCTGGCTGCACCCAACGCCGCCATCGCATTCCATTGAACCTGCTCTCAACAGCACACCAGTGATTTGCCAACTAAGAATTGAATGGACCATCAGCCCTATCCTGCTAGTTCATGGCATTGGTCACTGTCTCCCACTCCTTTGCTCCCACAGATTGCACCTCTTCCTGCTCTCACCCTGTAAATGGGAGGGGGTGCGTCCTGGGACATTGTCTTTGCTCCTCTTCCCTTCTCATCCCACACACTTCCTGGACAATCTCGCTGACTCCCTGATGGCTCCCAGACCTCTCTCCGAGGCAATCCTGTCACATTCCCAACCCATGTTTCTGCCCATACAAGTCTCCTAGGCACTGCAAGTTCCACAAAGCCAAAACTGAGCTCATTTTGCTCCCGGACTTGAAGCATCCCACTGTGGTCCTGATGGTCTCATGGCACCAATGTCCATTCCAGTGAGAAGCCTGGGAGTTGCCCTTAATCCTGGCCTTTCCCCTCAGTTCACACCCAGGGAAGGATCACATTCTATCAACTCGACTTCCCGAGCATCACAAGAACTTGTCCGTCCTCATCTTCACTGCAATTGCCTTAGTTCAAGTCCCATCATCTCTCCAGCTTCACTCCTCCAACCTATTAGGCCATTCTTCGACCTCCCAATTTGTTCCCCTCAGCCCCCAACTCTCTTCCTGATGCTTCTAAGTCATCTTTCTAAAATGCAAAAATCCTATTAGACAACTCCCGGCATAAAAATCTTCCAAAATCTCAGAAGATTATGATTACAATCCTGAATATGGAATTAAAGGCCTTCGGTGACCTGACATGGACAAGAGTTTTCAACCTAAACTCCCTTCGTAACACTTGCACCCGACTGTGGTCAACCAGCAGGCCCTCTGAGGATTAGCTCTGAGACATCTTCTCCTCCTCACTCTCACTCACTCTCTCTCTACTTAGATGAATCATCCCACTCAATCTTGAGATACAGCTCAAAGACCCCCTACTCTGAAAATGTGGGACACACCCGGGGTTCTCAGAACCCATGGACTTCCTGTCCCTAGTCATTGCTCTGTGATCGTCTTCATCACACTGTACCACAAGGGCTCGATCACTGAGCCCCAGGCCCACTGCCTGCACTCATCCATGCAGCACTGGGGGAGAGGGTTCACATTTCCACAGCTCTGAATCCCCAGCTCAGGCGAAGAGCCTTCGGTTCAGAAGTGAACGATGACACGGAAGCCTGTGCTCATCTGGCATCAGCAAGCATCATTCTATCACTCCAAGCATCGTGCTCGGTTTTCCCCAGGACTACCGCGGACTCCTAAGACCCACTCAAAGATAAGGCGCATTGCAATCTCCCAGATGTTAAAAGGTGAAAACCTGGAGTCTATGAAATAGGACATTAATTTAAGTAGCCTGATCAGAAGAACTTAATGTAGTCATTAGACTAAAAATCATCTTGAAAATCCAAGTGCTGAAAATGAAACAAACTTTCTAAGGTAACTCAAATAGTTCCGTGGGTATGTTATCCCAAAAGGCAATTATGTTTTTCCTTTTAAATGCTTGTTAAGGAACTATTTGTTCTACATCCTGCTCGTGGTGCCATAACACAAATCTACACCTATTGAAATTCATAGAATTATGAAAAAATAGCAAAGTCATGGGAAACAGTTCAATATGCCTGTCTTCTTAGACCTACACCCCACACTCTCCCACCCACCCAGCCGGGACTCGATCTCCATGGACCCGCGAGAACCCAAAGAGGACTCCATTTCCTCTAACGCTCTCACTCTATTTTATGGGCAATGACTTTAAAATAGTGCCCAGGCCCACCTCCACCACCTCTGTGACCTGCCCCAGGCTTCTTGCCGCTAACCTGGGGCCCTATTCTCCCTCTAACCCAGTTTTTCTCACTCTGGCTTCTGAATCCTGTTGCTGCCAGCTCAAGCCCTCTCCAGCCCCCTCCCATCTCACTCCACCCACTGGCTGTCTCTTGCCTATTTACCATGGGATATCTGGGCTCTCCTTGGGATAGAGGGTATGAGACTTCCCTCTCGTCTTGAAACTTTTTCAATTTTCCTTTTCGCCCAGGCACCCAGAGTCTGCTTCAAAAGGTTAAAAAGCATCTGAACATGGTAAGGCATACTGTTCATACATTAAGAATGGGAATGCTAGAAGGAACTCGCATGGCCTTCTATTTTGCTGATCAGGAAACGGAAGCACAGAAAGACAGTACTTGGTACAACATGGCAGACATACACCAAAGTGATCCTCTTCAGAAAGACTAAATAAGGGGAACCAGCAGTTAGCGTAATGGCTATGTCGCTGGACTCCCACGTAGTCGACCGCGGTTCACGTCCTGGACCCGGTGGCTTAAAACTCACGCCGGGCGCGTGTACATGCGTGCCCAAGATCCCGAGAGGAGAATGGAGGAGAAGGGATTGCAGCGTGACCATCCCCCCTGGGGGGTGATTTCTCGCTTTCTGTCTCTACGTCTCTCTCTGTCTGTCTGGCGAGCGCACGCGCCCTACAGTGAAAATCTCTCAAAAA